CGTCTGGTCGCCTACGGCCGTCCACGATGTCTCGTTGGAACCAGAGCCGCTCAATCTCAACGGTCATCTCTCGATTGCTCGCACGTTTCAAAGATGACCAGACGCACCGCTGATGCAACCTGACGCACGTACACGCGACGTCCGGTCATTTCCAGTAAGGGTCCAGAGGCGATTTTTAATGACCGGACGTGTCAGGTCAGAGGCGACCTAACGCGCCCCGGTGTTCGATCCTCTCTCTTCTTCTCTGTGCGCGCCCACCAAAGGTTGACCGGATGCGCGGTGCACCTGGCCCCAGTGTCCGATCGCTTTTGCTCAGTCTCGGCCAGACAGCGCGTCGCGCCTATAAATGACCGGACGCGCCCGGGGTGAGTCCGGTCACCCCGCAGCCCGCATCCGGTCGTGGACCTTCTCATCTTTTTCTTTTTCTAAGTCCACAACCGCTTCACCCTTGCTTCCAACTTGCTAACCATAAAGTGTAGAACTTGTGTACACGTGTGTTAGCATTTTTCAAAGCATTTTATAAGGGTCAAGGTTAGCACACTAGGTTCCTAAATGCACGAATCATGTCACCTAGCCAAAGATTTTCCCTCTTTATAGTACGACTATGAATCCTAAATACACTAACCCCTCTATGGTGTCTTGAGTGCCAAAACAAAAACTTATTTGATACATTTGCCTTGATCAACCTTGTTTTTGTTTTTCTCTTTCTTCTTTTCAGGTTGGAGCTTGATCATCTTCAACACATGTCCATCTCTATCTCCATGGACTTCATCACCATGCTCCATCACTTGGTATGTACCAACCTTGCTCACATGACACTCATGACAAAGGTTAGTACTTAGGTTTCATCATTCAGCCAAAACCAAACTAGGGCTTTCACTGGGAGACTTTCCGTAGGGCGACGGTGCTGGGCCGTGGGCCGCAAACGGACTCACAGTAGCGGCCCATCAAGCAAAGGCGGTTGAAGAAGAAGGCACCCAAAGTACCCCTAGCGGTTTGTATTAGTATAGAAATATTCCTAGGATGTACTGTAACCGACAAGGGGTAGAATGGTAAAGAGTAGCCTTAGTATGCAGTGCCCTATAAAAGGGGACTCAAACTCTGTACAAAGGGAGGTGGTTGAATACATTTATGAAACCCTAATCAGACTTGGGCCCACTTTCCATCTTTCACGCCTTCACCTAGGGCACTCGGCCAAGCGAAGGCCTCCGTTAGTCCTTCCTTGTCCCACCTGCTAGAAATCCCTTTTTCCAACAAGCTTAACCACGTACAAAAACCTACATAATTTCTGTGTGTACTTAAAGTTTTTATCCTCTAAAAAAATACAAGTGATTGTTTCTCTCGTAACCTTATTTGATCCTCTCGAATCCAGTGATTGTTGCCCGGTATAAGAATATAGTGCAATAAAACTATTTAGTCTTGTCCTTTTGAGCGCTCCTAACAGTGCTTCTTACAAGCCTTGAATATGACCCTTGTGTCGGCTTGATTGATGCTTAGGTTCTCACCACTTAATTATATAGTCCCTCCAAGGTCCTCACAAGTCACACATGCAAATAGAAGTCCTATTTTTTAGTAGGATTCTACATTCAAGTCTTAATAAAATTATAAATTCTAATAGCACACATCTCTTGAGTTTTAGCCTAAGTAGGATTTGAGTCACTGTATAACTGAGGTTGTGGTCGACGCTGCCGCTGCTAGGGAGAAGGCACACCAAGCACCTCTGAGCTGCCGGTTTATGTGGGTATGGTTGGTCAACTGCAGGCTCGATTTTTTTTTTGGAGAATTAACTGCAGGCTCGATTTGGGTGACTAAGTTCGATTTGCCTAGCTAGGTGCCCAATTTAGTTGCCTGGAAGACGGGCCCAATGAATAAGTCTGTATAGTCCCAGGACTAGTCTTAATTTGGCCCAAAATTATAATAATATGTATTATTTTAATGTTTGTAGAAGCCCAACAGGCCTTTCAGCCTGCCTCACTGCCCGGCCATGTGACCGGGCACCACCCGCCCTTTTTTTAAGCTCTGCGTGTCTAATAGAAAAATAACTCTTACTTGTGCGGAGAACTTTTTACTTTTTTTGGTCATTTGGTATTTGGTATGACCGTATGAGCCGATGAAAGAATCGTTTGAGGAGCCTCCCAAAGGAGCTCAAAGTTGATGAAATTTGATCACTTAAATTCTTAACCATTGTATATTCTAAAACACAAGTAACAAATAAATATGTTTCTTGCGGTGTACATAGTGAAAAACTAGATTAAATGCTACATGCTCGCTACAAATTATAGTTTATTTTGATTTTATCTTAAGTCAAATTAACTTTAACCAAATTTATAGAAAAATGCACCATCATCTACAACATCAATTCAATTTCACTGTATTCTCCACAAAATATGTTTTAATAGTACATTTATTTCAACATGTAGACGTTAATATATATTTTTAAAAACTGTTAAATTAGAGAAATTTAATTTAGCAGAAGACCCCGGCAGTGGATCCGATCAGAGCTTGGCGTGGTCGTGGCACACCTGGCTCCGGACTTTCATCTCTGGCACGCCGAAGATGACGTGGCAGTCAGAGTAGGCCACCGCGCGCAGCTTGAGCACACTGAAGATGGCGACCTTCCCGGGCACCCTGGCGCTGGCGTCCAGCGGCACCGCGCCGGCCTCCATGTCCTTGACCAGCTGCGGCAGCTCAGCGCCGAAGCTGCTGGACAGCACGGTCATCACCAGCTCCATGGTGCCGTCCCCCTTGCTGGGGATGCGGCCGGGGTCGACGCCGGCGACTCCCACCAGGACGCCCCGGTACCAGAGCTGGGCGGCACCCGACGCGTACGAGAAGGACGCCGGGTTGGGGTTGTGCACGCCCACGGTGAGGAGCATGGTGAGGTTGAACTGGAAGTCCGGGCCCGGGCCCGGGGCGAAGCCGATGACCCGCGACGAGACGAGCCGCGTGGTGGGGTCGCGGACGCGGAGCACGGTGAGGAAGAGCACCAGGAGCGTGATGCCCAGGAGCAGGGCCGCGCCCAGGGAGACGAGGAGGCAGACGCAGGCGCAGCGGCGGCGGCGCCGGCGCCGGTGGCGGAGCTCGTCGGCTTGGTTCTTGGAGGGCGGCGGCATGGTCGTCGTGGTGTGCGTGGGGAGCACGGCGGCATTGGAGTCCATCGGGACGGACGTGGCGCTCAGCGGCGTGGCGCGCGTGCACCGTCCGGCCGGGGAGTGAGTGATGGATGGATGGAGTTGCAAATTTGCGATGCGTTTGGAAGCCAGGGGAGGGACAGGGGGAGTTTTAACGAGGAGGTTGGCTTAAGGGAGTGGTATTTTAAAACTGATGACAACTGAATTGAAACCGCACGGCTAGTTTTGCTCCGTGGCGTCTAAATTGGTTCGTTGAGTTTGTCGGTACAGATGCTGCTGTGCCGTGACGTAGCATCAGTAGAAAATAATTCAAGCGTGGGTAAACGTTATAGGTAAAATAAACTTTGAAACAGAAACTAGTGGATAATCTGGTAGTGTAGCATATTTCATTGCATTGCATAAACATTTGCGCAAACTATCGGAACTCGGATACAGAAAATAGTACCTTTCGCTTCATGTTGATGCCTTGAGAATTATGTCCCCACAGCAGAGGTTTCCTGTAATCATCATGAACCATTATAGTCCACAACACGCGTCTCCTGTTGATCTGTAGCCGTGGTAGTAGATCTGGATAATCTAAAGTTTTTTTTTAAAAAAATTATCCCTTAACATATCAATGATTCACTACTATAGTAACGTTTTTAGAGGCAATTGAAAACTATTTGTAAAGACGGTTATTTCAGCTGTCTCTACTTGTGCGTCGACGATTTCTATAGACGTATCCATCTTTAGAAATTGATTTCTAGAGGTAAGCTTTCAGGCAAAAAAAAAAAAAACAAGAAAACCCTAAGAGAGCCAATCGTTTCTACATCCGAGGTTATTTGAGTAATTCAAAAAATATAAATTCAAAATCATTAATTTTAGAACATACTTCCTCCGTTCTAAATTATAATTCAACCTTTTGTTTGGCTTTTGGCTCTTTGGATAGCCGAAACAGGTTAAAAAGCCCAACAAGGGCCCTTAGCTGTTGTGGGCTCGTGGCTTCACAAAGAAAGCAATTCCCTTCGTAGTTCGGACAACGCCATTACCATTTCACGAGGCGGCTCCTGAGCACATTTTTGCTTTGGTTTCGTCATGGTTAGCCCCAAATTCTTATAATTTGGCTCTGCGGTGTACTTTTGTGATATATGGCCAACCAGAAGAGCTATAGTGGAATTAAAAAAACACACACACACACACACACACACTTGATGCACATCAAATACAATAAAAAGGTTAGGCTGCTAAACAGCACACTTTATAAAAATAAGGCACAATCAGCTTCTCTCAAACGAACACGGCGTTGTAGCTCTGCAGTGAATAGCAATAATACATTTACACAGTACAGGACAATAGCAGCCGCAGCTTAAAATTCATCAGTGAGAGGGACAGCTTAAAATACATTTATGCATCTGGTGACAGTTGAGTCCATGTACCACCTCAAGTGAGCTTGTGATTATGGTACAGGTCATAGGTAACCTTAACTTGTTTAATTTACATGCACCACCATTTGCAAGTTTTTTAATGCAACTCAAAGATACAAGTGGACCATGGAGACTTGATAAAGATGCCATCATTTTTACAAATACAATGTTCGAATTGCCCTCTTCTTTTTCGTTGTTGGGGTGGGGTGGGGGGCATCCACGCAATGAACCAAAAAAAAAAATTAAATTCAGTGTATTTCCCAGTCCAATTCCGGGATAAGTGCAAAGTGCCTGGAATAGCAAGAAAACCGCAGAAAATATACTGTTAGTCTACTGGCACAAACAGATGCCCATCAGATGACATCTCCACGAAATATGACAATGAACCAAAACGGAGCAGAACAAACAAAAAGAAGGTTAAATCTTTAATCAAGTAATTCCGTGTTCATATAGTAGTACCTTAATACTAGCCTCGTTTTATACCAAGAATCTTAGCGCTGTACTCCCAAGCAACAATTGCTGCAGCATTGGCAGGGAATGCTCTTGCTAGAGTTGGTCCAAGTCCAGCATAACAGCCACCCATCCCAGCTCTCTTATAAACCTGTCACATTTCAAGCCATGTGCATTGTGGACTGCCTCCATCAGGACAAGATACTAGCTAATTAAAACGCGACATTATGAGGTCCAGTGAGAGTACTACCATTCTCAAAATCTGCAAGGGGTTTCGGCTCACATGAGGGTCCGGATCGGTCTGTATTATGGTTTTTGCCACATCCAGCGGTAGGGTAGCTGTCCAGAACTGCAGAGAAAACACACTTATCATAATGAGGGTGTAAAATGTGCACTGCAAAGGACTTCAAACAATTGTAAATACTTACTGCCATTCCACTAATGCCACCACCCATAACCCCTATCCCAATATCTTTTGCCAGCACGAAATGACTGCTATCAGAAAATCTCACAGAATCCAAATAGTTGTGCATCCAGTATCGACTGTACTCATAAGTGCAGAAGAAGACAGCATTGCCAATCGCCTCTCTGAATAATGTTGCCAAACCACCACGGAATATACCCTTAAGCTGTAGCACAAAACAGCTCATTAGTCTGGTAACAGTTATTAAGCTACTAAATAGAAGTAGAAGGCCAGTTGAGCTCACCCCTTCACTTTCCAATGTTTTCACAGCACAATCTAGAGGGCTGGAGTACCTAGAGCCATGGATTACATCCTTCCCTTGAACTTGCATTCTGCACTGGAAAAGGTCTTGACATCACATCATTAAATGTCACTAGAATCATGCATCATAAGTCCTTACATCAATTAGAAAAAAAAAATGGGAATTTAGCACCAATGCCAGTACCTTAGTGAGCTCAGTTGGAGTGAGGATGCAGCTAATCAGAGCTCCACTGCATGCAGCAGAAGGGATAATTACCTGTAGATGTGGCCTACCAACCTCATAGCTTCCCTGAAAACACAATTTTTTTTAGAAAACTATACTAAACTAAAGCCAGGCCTTGACTCAAGATTTGCAATCTTCCTGCTTACTTAGCTACTGTTCAACAATTATATGCTTAGTTCTTTTAGTTGGAAAGATCATTTGAATACCTGTAATAACTGTTTGGCTTGGGAATATGTGCCAAAGAAAAGGGAGCTTTCAACAGCTATACCAATAAATGAAGACGACGCACCTTTGTACAGCCCTCTAATCTGCAAGAGAAAATAGCAATGCAATGAGCTTTCAGAATGTTGATATGATAGTGTATATCAATCTTAAATTTAACTACTGCAGGTTCCAATACTGGGCCAAGCATTAACTGCAGGCAAAACAGCCACAGCAATTTGATCCCTTCTTTAAGTATAGAAGGGTAATGACACCAAGCAATATGAAAGAAGGGGCTTACTCCTTCCTCAAGCAGTATCCTACTAGTGCAGTGGAGCGCATTCTTGTACACCTTTCCGTGAGCTGTGGTATTATGAGCTTGCAGTTTAACCTAACAGCAAGCAAAAAAGCTCTTGAATTCACATGGACCAAAGTTACGAAAAAGAAATCTTAAATTCACATGAACCAAGTTTATATCAATGACAACCATATATTTCGTCCAGATTGAAGATCATTTCATCCAGAGAACCAGCTGTTTTGTGGATTTTGTACACTTGTATACCAAGTAACCGTTCAATAGGCCCAGAACTAACAAACTGAATCTACAGTCACATGCAGAATTTGTTAGTATCACTTCACATAATATTACTTACAGCTGACTTTCTCAATGTACTATGGAGTATGGACTTATGTTTAATCAACTCATACAGTGCCACGATCGCCTAGAAATGTGGATCATCAGGGTCTAATGGAAGTGATGCCTAGTTTGGTGGCAAATCCTTCATCGAGGGTAAAAAACCATCTAAATGAGGCCAGACAGCAAGGGCAAAGAGCACTGTTTAAGATAGAGGACAAACCATAAACCGGAATAAATATAAGTTTTGAACTTTGATAGAGAAAGACTCGATATTCTAGCTAAATTTAAGGGGAAATGGTATACATACTTAATTCTTTTTACCAATCAAGTACTAACAGATACCCATGAACGTTTAACCAGGATTACTGGACTAGCATTAACTGCAGGTTGATTAGCTTTTAATGGTGTTAAGATGCTGAGCTCCCCACAGTTGTTAGTAAATGGTTTGTACATATACCACTTCTCAAACCTGTGGTTATTACGCACCACTGTTCATAGAAGCACAGTATCTAATCTAAGTTCCCATCTAAACATAATACTACTTGCCATCTCCTAAGATTATAAATTTAAGATATTGACTTACTAACCAAGAAACCTCAACTATCCCTAAGCCTACTCAACTGACCTAGTATTGCAGGTGCTGCTACTGCTCTCCTAGGTGCGCAATCTGCGTGGGTCCTCATGAATTATACGCATTTTCTATAATGTGCTACTAACCGTAACATGCACATTATACAAATTTAGCTGGAAGTTAGCTTAATCACACACTTGAAAACAGGGGTGAATACAGCAGTATGGTGAAAACCTAGGTGCACCATGGAGAAACTAGGTGGCTGCCATATGTAAGGTCGTCACAACCTAGCCCACTGCCATGACAACATAGGACTGTACTATATAGTTTACACCCGACAAGTATAAAGGGCGTACCCAGTGCTGAGAGCTCCCGCTCTGTGCGGGGTCTGGGGAAGGGTGTCAGTGGCAAGCCTTACCCTCGCTGTGCAATGTGAGGAGACCGCGACTCGAACCCGGGACCTTCCGGTCACAGGCGATAAGACTCTACCGCTTGCACCCAGCCCGCCCTTCAAGTATAAGGCATTAATAAAACATCACTTAAGAACAATCTGGGAATTCATCGGCGTGAACAGGGAAGACTCAAAATTTTCTAGACCTAGGTTATACGATGTGTGGGCTCAGTGCTTAATTTTCTGTCTGGACATTAATAACTCGAGCAAGTCTTGATGGTCCAATATAATTTACATTCAGCCCACCTATAAGCAACTTCATGCATATGTGAGATCATAAAGATATATGCCTAAGAAACGAACTATACATATACAATGGCAACTGCATCTTTTTCCACCACAAAGAGGTAAAAAGGTACAGTGAGGCCAGAGGCGAGAATGAGCTGACCAGCAAGGTTCACCGAAGACCCAAGCCGAGGCTGAGAAGGTCCAGGACACCTTCAATGGTGATGTCGGTGCGTCGGAGTGGGAGGCTGGCTGCTAAGACCAAGGCCTCTAACCCGACTGTCCAAGCACAAAATGTGCTCAAGCAAAAGCTGGGGATCGTAGATATGCCGCAGGGTCCGGACCCTATGGCTTTGGACAGTATCAAGGCCTTCTTCGTTGTGCCGTTGTCGCCCTCCAAACAAGAGGCCCTTCAGGCGCTCTTCGCTCCAGACTTCAATCCGGTTGCCATGGAGCTGAACCTCACTGGCTTCGAGCACAACACTCTTTAGCCGCTGAGCTCAGGGCCTGCTGGGTTTTGTCCCTATGCTTGATCCTTCTCTTGGTCGCTAAGTATTTTCTTTTGTAAATCACAACTGTGTGATCTCTGTCAGTGTTTCGCTCGGTAATCACAAATTACCGTCCCAGCTTTAATTTGTAAAACTCTCCTTCTGCTTAATGAATACCGTGACAATGGCACGTTCGAGAAAAGCAAGGTTCACCGACAATTTATAGCTGAACAAGCACGGGAATGTATATGGAAGAGCATTGTTGACCACCCAAGCTATGTAAAAGTGTAGGATATCTATGTGCTGATGAAACCTCGCAGGCATTTCATCGAATATCAGTATCTTTGGGACATAACATGGCTGAAACAGGACCAACCAAGCATCCAGAGTCTATAGAAAATTTGCGGAGAACGGAGCATAAGAAGGCAAGAACGAAGAAAAGAAAGAAAGAAATATACCTTGACCGTGTCGAACGGGTGGCCGACTACGACCTGGGCGACGCCGGCAGCGGATCCGGCGACGTACTCCTTGGCCGCGTCTCCCGCTCCGGCCATCTGAAGAACTGGCGACGGGCGCAAGTACTCGAATGTCTGCGAAGAGGGAAATGCAGAACTGGGGGAGAAGGGGAAAGGATGGCCCGGTCCCTCCGGAACTCCGGCGCCGTCGTATGGCAGCGAATGCGGGGAGGAGAAAGGAAGGAACGAGGAAGCACCGGCCGAGACGAGGTCCTCTGCAGTTGTGCACAGCGACTCTTCTCTGCAGTCACCGTATCTCAACCATTGGTTAGAATCCAACGGCAAAGCTTGCAAAACTAATCCAGCAGGCCACACGGTTGGGTTACGAAGGCCCATCTAAGCCCAAGACACTCACGATATCGTCATCTGCGAGTCGGTCCTTCCCCTGCGCCGCCGTCTTCCTCGTCGCTGCAGCTCGTCGCCGTGGCCATTGCTCTTTCGGTGCTGCAGGGTCGACAGTCGCTTTTTTGGTGCTGCCATCCCTCTCTCCTCTCTCTCCTACAACACCGAGCTCGCCGTCGTGGCGACTCGCTGCCGCAATCTTACTCCGCCGCGGCAGCCATAGCCCTGCTCCGTCGAGCACCGACGGCCACGCGGCCCTCTAGCTCGGAAGGCGCAGGAGGCCGCGGCTCTGCTCCGTCGAGCGCCAGCGGCCACGCGGCCCTCCAGCTCGGCGCGCGCAGGCGGCCGCGACCCTGCTCTCGATTGCACGGGCGTTGCCGGCATGCTGCACAAGCGTGTGGTGGCGGGGAGGGGAGCGTCGGCGAGGTGAGGAACATCGAAACGCCCAGTCACAGAGCCGCATCGTTCGCGGCGACGCTGCCGAGCGTCGCGTTGGCGGCTTGGTGGATGCCTAGCGCGGCGTCCTTGGGCTGATGGGCCGGCTGCTAGCAGCCCGTTAGTATAGGTTAGCTTCAGAGTTGTACAGTCACATCTGAAGCAGACGGTTCAGATTGCTGTAAAACATACCGACTCTAGAAGAGGAGGAATTCTAATCCCAGTTCATTTGTATATTGGCTTTTATTAAACTCTTAAGCCTTGTTGATAGGACTATATATACGTAGGAGTTCGACGTTGTAATTACCAATATTTAGAGGAATAAAGAATAGTCTTCCTATCTTACGTCTACTTGTTCTTCTACTTTCATCTACTATGTTGATCATGAGAGATGTAGATGGAAAGGTCCAAACCGTTGACGATATGTTTTATAACACGTTATCAGCACGACAAGCTTTACGTCGACATTGTCGTTGAAGCCACCGCCGACCTTTGACGTCGATGCTCATGCTGATGTCCCTGCCATGACTACTTCAACGACGTCGACATCCTGACGTTGCTAGCGGAACGGATCTGCTACCTCTACCTGCAACTAATCTAAACTGCATCGACATGCACTATCGCCGTCAAGCAGGCAATTCTACGACAATGCTAAACGCCCTACGCGGTATGTATCTACTAACCATTGTCCTACGTGTGGTATGTGAGGTAAATCAAATTGACATCCTCTGCGAGGTTTGAATCGATCATTTTGAATCATAAATCGTTTGTGAGCTAGCCATCAAGCCTGTCTACATATATTATTCTCTTGAATAATTGAACTGTACAGGAAGTACACATGTACACGAAAGTACGGACATACACACACGGCCGGTACACCAAGATACGCATGGATACATGCTCCTGTCACGAAGATCACTGCATGTCTGCATTGCAGAGAAATCGATCTTGCACGATCACTGTCGTGCGACCCTGAGCCTGCATGTTCAGTACCGATCGGCCATGCATCAAGCTGAATTATTTTGCTTTTAATTTATATATAATACATGCATATATATATATATATATATATATATATATATTATATTGAGTAGTCAGCTACAAAATAAGTTATTCTATAGCCACCTTTATTTACGATAGTTGTGTTACTATAACACATAGGGATATTTACCATAACGTTATAGTAAACCACTTAGCAAGGAGTTACTATAATCTCGTAAATTAATATAGTAATTATCATAACTCAAAGTGGCTACAGAATAAGTTTTTTTTAGCCGACCACAGGGTAGTAGTTCTCTCTCTCTCTCTCTCTCTCTCTCTCTATATATATATATATATATATATATATATATATATATATATAGTATATTCAGTATCCAGCTACAAAATAAGTTATTCCGTAACCACCTCAATTTACGATAATTTTATATATTAATTTACGATAATGTCAATACATATTTACGATAGTTGGGGGTTACTATAACATATGGAGATATTTACCATAACGTTATAGTGAACCACTTAATATGGAGTTACTATAATCTTGTAAATTAACATAGTAATTATCGCAACTCAAAGTGGCTACCGAATAAGTTATTTTATATAGCTAACTATATATATATATATATATATATATATATATATATATATATATATATATATATATATATATATATATATATATATATATATATATAGAGAGAGAGAGAGAGAGAGAGAGAGAGAGAGAGAGAGAGAGAGAGAGATCTATGCGGACATGCATGGATGCATAGAAGAAAAATACGCACGCCATAGCACGGCGGCTACCCCCGCATAGCACGGCAGATGAAAGTCAAAAACCGGAAGTTATGCCGAGCTGTATATGTACTAGATGTTCTTCACCGGCCTAGTGCTACTGCCGAGCGGGAGCATCTGTATATGCACGAGCCTTAAGGCTTCACTGCTACTGCTACCAGGTGTTTTTCGCTGAATCGACAATCGAATACCGAGTATAATATAATGGAAATCGGTGACGATTTATATCTCTAGCATTGATACTCGAAACGTCCCGTTCTCGTTGTCGACGACCTCCTTCGTGATCTGGAGCAAACCAGCGTGTTCGTCTCCATGAACGTTGCACCTCCCGACATCAGCATCAACATGCGTGTTCTATGGCTCACAGCTGGTTTGAAATCGGTGTGCACGGTAACGGTGTCCCGAACGCATCACCACCACGCATCGTGTCGGGTCGGGGTTGCATGGCCTAGGCCATGGTATTTGAACTTGAACGCAGGACCCCTATCTCTTAGGGCTAGCCAGAATACGGAGTAGAATTAAATAAGAAATAATCAGCTAAAATAAATATGGATTATGCAAAGAAATCACAGTGGCATTGAATTAAGCAAATAAGCACTCTTTCCTGCAGAATAGTTTGTGTATGTTATTTACAGACATTTGTTTATTGTTTATATATACGCTATGTGTTAATATTCTTATGCTCTTTTGAATGCATTTATCTGTCACACATTATGGATTATATATCATGTAATTGTAAGAATAAAATCTTGAATGATTACACTAGAAACATGATATAAGGTGTATGGGCTCTCTTAATCCTGCAGACCTTAGACTTATCACTCTTGAGAGACTCATATTTGTTTTTCCTAGCATAATGAATTTTTGGGATGAATAAATGCTTGGTATTAATTCTGAAAATTGCATATACTATAATCCTGAAAAATGTTAGGATGCTTCTAAGAATATTTTTGAATAACCATCCACTACATTTTGCACCTTGCTACTTGTTTACATGTAGTAAACTTATATGCACATGATCCAATTTATGTTAATATATGCATGCCTCAAAAGAAGAAGAAATTTCCTGAAATCACTCCGAATAGTAGAATAATTTGTTATGGTCATTATTACATCCATGTAGGATATTTTGCTACCACTGAAGTGCAGTGAACTCAGGATATATATATTTCCTGATTACTCTCTAGAATGAGTATATGGTCAAGAGAAATAACAAATGCATTGTGGGACTCACTGCATGAGAAAATTTCCAAATTATGATTACAGAATACCATCTTGCTTTGAAAGTCGAATTTTCAACCTTGTATGCCTATAGATTTAGGTATAATGCTGCTCTATAAATAATAGCTTGAATCTTTGTATTAAATGTCTAGAAGACAAGATGGTAAATAAGATTTTGTCAATGTATATTCTCAAAGAAATGTCTAAAATATCAAAGAGCAATGTAATACGTGAAGTACTTGAGTTTACCATAAAAAATTACTCAAATATAAATTGAGTTGGAATTTTTAGAGAGCTTTATAAACCACGATATTGTCAGTTGCAGTAGCTTTGACTATGTGGCTTGCATATGTTACACCCCTTGAAGGCTTGTGACCGTATATCATAACTATTGAATAAAGCATGAAGTTACCGCCTGTCATGTATAGAAGTTAAGACATGCGAGAATGGATATTATTTATAATATTTAAGGGTTTTTCTTGAAGAAAAACTTAAATCATGTGCTTATAGATTTGTTGTCTTTGAAATTACTATCCTGAAGTATTGGTGGTAGTAGTGTTGGTGCTTTAAGTTTTAGTTCCCATTGAATTAAGTTGTTCTTGTATACTTATAGAAGCGTTCATGGTTAATTTATTAGCTTGAAGACTAATATGATATATTTAATATTCTTAGTTATAATTCTTACTTGAAGTAATATATGTTAACTTCTCATGGAACAAATTAGACTTATATGTTTCACATATAAACAATTGTCAATTTTTGTCCATCTAAATAAGTTTTGTATTAATTTTATCCACAAAGAAACCTCAGTTAACCATGAAGATTATAGTTCTCTGTGCACTACTACCATGTAGATAGAAGGGGAATTGAATTTCCTATAAGTACATGAATACTTGGATTATATTGGCATATTAACTGATCTTAGAAGGATTAATTTAGCCAAAAAAATAGTATAATCCTAAAAATTAAGTATTTAATACTTTAGCCCATAAACTGTCCTACCCTGAATATTTTGTTGTACACTGAATAGTACACGGATATGTGAATTTCATACCTGAACCAATGAATACTAGAAGTATGATTAGATTCTATGAAACATTAGAAATGATTATTCATAGATGATGTGAAGTACATTACTACTTGAAGTAATTATGGCATGAAAAGGAGAGAAATTTTGGGTAAAGACATAAAATATGGGTAATATATATTTAATAGGCATAGCCTTCCTAAATCTATCTTTAAGTGCATGTATCAGGACTTGAAGTCCTAGCCGCGTCCCTTCTGGCCGAATTAATTTTCTCTACATTTCACTAATTGTAAGGAAGCTTGTACCTTTACAATGTGGTGTTATCTATTACATTGGATTGAATACCAACATTCCACATTACACATAAATGTGTATCACTATGTTGTGCTCTCGTTAAGCTGTAACTATCTCCCCTCCTACATAAATATTAGCATGGAAGTTATATTTGTAGCTTGTAGCTACTATTTGTTCCTTCGTAATCAAATTGGCTAGCTAGCATGTTATGCCAAAATAATTT